AAATGATCCCAAAGTTCTTTACAGTATAAGCACTTTTCAGCACCTACCTGAGTGACGCACAGCAGCCCCACTACACGACAGATCAGAAAGGCAAGTGAGAAACTTCAAAGAGGAAGTTTATGTAGTTCAAAATGAACACTAGAGTTAATGAATTAACTCCCCTAATATTTAAGGCTTTCAAGAATGACCTAGTTGTCAGGACTGCAGTGTAACATCTCATCTGAATGTATGTCACCATACTGGGCCATTGATTTAGAAATTGTGCTCCAGAGGGAAGAGTGGCACTTGCCATTCATGCTTGTTAAACCTTTGCAATTTCCACTTTATAATCATCTGTTGGGGCTGCAAGGTGTTGAGGAACCTATTGAATTTTGGGGGGAAAACTTCTTCACCATAGCAGCACCATACAGTCTACAGACTAGTTTGTAGAAGAAACATTTTTTTTACTGGAATTGGGATTTGCTATTGTAAGCTTGAATTGACCCGATCCATCCAAGATGTTCTGTGGGTGTTTTTTGCATGCAGGAAAACTACCAGCATATGGAAGAATTTTATCAAAATATTACCTAGTTTTGCCAATACTGTATATCCTAATGTTCAGTTGACAATGTCCGCTGATTAAAATGTTACTTTCAGTTGCTCTGATTCCAAATGCCACTGGATTTAGTTTTTCCTGGTGAAATCCACTCACAAGTTTAACAGAATCTGGTTGTCAACCATGTTTTACATGTAGCTAGCTAGGATTTCACTGTAGCTTTATAATACACATTCCAAGCCCACTACTGTAGAATATGGAGTGATTCAATCATCAGTGATAAAATGCCTTTCAGTTGTTTTTTGATAGCATTAAAGAAGTAACTAGAATGTTGATTTATCACTCTTAACTCCTGGTATGTGTTTTGTTTATTAGTATGTTTTGGGGGTAATTTTACAGACCATAATGTATAGCAACATCATGAATTGAGTAGATCTCTAACCACGAGTCTAGATGAATAAAATTTAAAGCAGTTGAAGTAGGAATTTGTGAAAAGGGTAGGCTTTCTACAAAGTATGTAACTGCTCTGTTGAATTCACTATTCACTAGATATCTTCCCTTCACATGTCAGAAAATGTGGTAAAATTTAATTTATAAATTTTCAGTTTTGTATTTTTTTT